CTTATTATTGTTACTCTTCTTCTTTCTGTCTCTCCAGTGGGCAGAGAATCAATGAAAATACAACTGAATTGTTCTTTTCTTTTTGCTTTGGTTTGGTTTCAAGCAAAATATAATCGAAAAAAATTGAACCAATCCAATTGTTTAAATTTGAGTTGGAAATCAAAATAAGCCATTTTTATAATAAGTAACTAAAATAAGCTTAGTGGAAAAAAAGTTTTACTATATTCAATTTTCTAAACGTTTTCCGTTAGTATCATAACGTTTATTTTTAATATATAATGGAACTTTTTTTTCCACTTTATAAAGTGGATCTTTTTATTTCACTTTATAAAAAGTTATCTTTTCATCTTCACCTTCTCTCCCTTTCCTTTTCATGGCTCCCAAAAAGATATTCACTTTGAAGATGGTCCCAATACGACAATTTGAAGAGGTCTCATACTAAACAAATCAAAATTTTGGAGTAGCACAACTTGACAACATTGAACTCATATTCGTTGCTTTAGGTGCAAAAATAGGTAATTGCAGCCTTGTACTTGTAGGGAAATTTTATCTTTTTTAGAATGTGGTTTTGGTTTGATTTACTTTCAACCTTAGACTTAATTTAGTTTTGGTTAGGAAGACATCTAAATTCATTGATAGAAAACTTTAGATTTACACATCCTATAAAAGTTTTAATAGTAACACTACTTCAAAATCATATGAAAATAAACTAATATAAATTAAGAGGCAGAATAGCGTAAAATATAAGACAAAATAAAAGTATCTATGTCATAAAGTACACAAAAATTTATCTTTTTGTCTAGCTTTAAGTTGAAACATTTTCTTATTAGTATTATTTTTTGAAAAATTATCAACAAATCTTCCATAATTTTTTCATATGGTGGATGTTATTTATTGACTATTTCTGCACCAATATGTGTCTTGACTATCAACATACAATTGACTACTGTTTCAGGATTGTAGTGTTTCAAAGCTTCCATCAACCTTGGCAACTAGGCAAAAGAACCCTCCCAAGTACCATAAACTTTTTCAAAAGCCCGCTTGCAATCAAGATAGACTTTTCTTTTACTTATTGAAATGTCATATGCTTTAAGAACGGTTGTTTGACAGTCTTTGATGGGAAACTTGAAATTAATAATAATATTAATTATCAAATAAAAAATAAATATTTCCTTATTAAATAAAAATCATCTAGGGATAAAATAGTACCTTGGCGTTCTTTCTATATCAACACGGAGGACTTAGCAATCATCTCAACATTCAAGTTGAAATGCCCTTCGAGGCACATTCCCGTATCACATGTATGTTCTTTAATGTATCTTCCAACTTTCTTCATGTTAGTATGTCTATCAATAAAAAAAGTCAGCCTAAATCAACATCTTTATTCTGCAACGCCTGCAAACAAGTCACCATGATCTTTTTGTCGATTTAATAACAAAGCACTCCCTTGCTATCTTCAAATGTAGAAGTTTAACTGTTCTTTGCAACTACTTCTTTGAATTGAATAACATGTCTTTTTCAATATAAATAGCATCATTCATGAAATCTTCTGGTTCATGCCACGTACGTTGTGATCTATACTCATCATGTGCATCACCAAAGATATCTGGACTATCCGGGAGATGATCAAGATAAGGAATTTCATGATACGAAACGGACTCATGGACATTAGTCTTGGCGATCGATTGGAAGTAAAAAAATCATCATCATCTCCGGATTCCTCAGCATTAGGCAAATCATCACTATCACTAGCTGAAGGAGAGCCGTAATTTGGAAGGTCATATCATCGATATTCACAGGATCAATGGGCTCATCTTGTGTAATATTTTCTCTATATATGTAAAAAATATATATAAATATTTGGCTCATGCAATTAACTTACTCAAATTAAAAAAAATAAGTGTTAGACATAGCGATAATCATCTGCATCAAAAGTAGGCGAGACATGAAAATTTGAGGATGTCCCAACATTTTCCGTCTTTTCAAAGTGTGAGGACTGACCAAAATAATTATTTAGTCCATAACTTGGAGCAATATCCCTATCTTGCTGAGGTAAACCACTACAAAATATATAATAATAAGAATAATAAATAATATAAATTAATAAATAATTGACAAAATCAACAAACAATAATCGAAATATAATAATTGAGCATTACCGATCACTTTCATTGATAGTTTCGTTTAAATCAAAATCATATCGATCGGTAAGAATATTTTGATAATGTGTCATTTTAGGAAAATCAGTAGATTGAGTTATTCGAAATCCATTAATGCTATTACGATTTTCTATTTAGGAATGGACATCGACTGATAAAGGAGAACGTTGTTGACTAATCTTAGTCCTTCCTAACATAGATTTCAAGTATTGTTAAGTTTATTTGATCTGTATAGTCATTTGGAACCCTCAAAAAGTCGGTCAACGGTTCATCATTATTATAGATAATCCACTCTCCAAAATTTACTTGTCCTTATGATAAAAACGAAGTAGAGTATTTTCCGACTATAATCAAATTATAATCTGTATTGTTATACCCATTCTTTTATAAATTGATGAAATAAATTTATGATATCGGACATTAATTGGATATTTAGCATTGTGTTTGGGAGGATAATAAACGGTATTTCATGTATAATTTCGTCATTCCAATAAAATAAAACTTTAGCTTTAGGTGTAGAAGACATTTTTTTAGATCGAAATGAACAAATATAGAAGACTTTGTTGTAGGTGCTATCAATTATATATAAACGTCCTTAAATAGGAATTGAAAGATTTTTCAGAATAAAAAAATAAAAATACATAATGAAGAATTTTTTTCCGTTTTAATGACATATCAAAATCAATATAATTTATATGATAACACTGAAAAACCTTCTTCAAGATGTGAAAAATATTTTTCTTATAAAGTGTGATAAAAATTCCACTCTATAAAGTGGAATAAAAAGTTCCACTTTATAAAATGAAATAAAAAGTTCCACTTTATAAAGTGGAAGAAACAACTCCATTTTATAAAGTGTAAGAAAAAGTTTCATTATATATTAAAAATAAACATTATGACACTAACGTAAAACGTTTAGATTATTGAATATAGTGAAACTTTTTCTTTCACTAAGCTTATTTTAATTACTTACTAAAATAATGACTTATTTTGGTTACTTTTATATTTTCGTGGCTTATTTTGATTCCCAACTCTTTAAATTTGCACTTCATTAAAATATTCGATCATAGATAAGTTGTTCCTTCTGTTTTGTTTTGTTTGGTTTTGGTTTTAAGTAAAATATAATCGATTTTTTTTTAACCAAACCAATTGTTTAAATTTGCACTTCATTTTAAAAATATTCTACCATAGATAAATTGTCATTTATCAAATTATTGTTAAATATCTTCATAAAAATTATAAAATATTTGGTCAGAGAAAATCTTATTTAAAGATTTAGGAATTCTAATATATATGATAGGAGATAAATGATATATTATTGAATGATCAGGTTGTAGATATTTTGTGCTACAAAATAAATCTAGCAAAAATAGTGTTCATTCATTTAAATAAAATTCTTTAGACATAATTATTCTCCAAACCTTAAAAAATAAAGGAAGGTTGTAATCTGATAACCAAATGGAACAAGAAATTATACATTATTTGTTTTTTAGGTCGATTGTCTCTTTTCTTATGTTTTATAATTATTTTTCTTTTCTTTTTTTTTTAATCTTTCTTTTGTCTTACGTTTATTTTTCTTTTCCTTCTTTTCTTCTTCTTCTTTTTTTTTTCTCTTTTTTCCTGTGTTTTTTTCCTTTTCCTTCTATTTTTTTGTTTCCTTCTTTTTTTCTTTTCTGTTCATGTTTTTTTTTAAAGTATGAAAATATAAAATTATTTATTTATACATAATGTACTCTTAAATACAAAATTTATCTTTAGTCTCGAGGGATATATAATATGTCTGAAATTTTATAAGATACACTATAACTCTTGCTTTAGAGGCATTAATTAGCCCAGACTTTCAAAGAACAAGTTACATCCTATGTGCAAAAGTTGTTGGTCTTGATTTATGAGATGCTCTATTAAGTCTTGTTTTAGAGGAAAGACTTAGACCAAGAATTTAACAAGTTATGCCCCACAAGCAAAACTTGAAATTACTGCAGTGTGTCTTGATTTATCATATGCTCTGTAACTCTTGCCTCTTAGCCCAAGGACATTCAACCAAGAAGTTAAGCCCCAAGGACATAATTTGGCAATATAACATTGTGTCTTAATTTATAAGATAAATCTATAACTATTGCTTAGAGGTAAGATCTGTGTTGAGATTAATGCAGTTTTGATGATTAACATAGAAAGATAAAACACGTCAGTCAACATGGTTCAAAGGTGCACGATGACAATTAGCAATTGAAGTTGGAAAAACTTTTAAAATGAATAAAGACAAGAGTGCAGAAATAAAAAATGTATATAGACATTCAATTTTTACCGACCTTCAATCTTTTCGGGAATGTTATTCGATTAAAAACTATTTTAAAATATATTTTGAGTTTAGAATTTTAGTCGATTTTGTCTAAAATTATATATTTTAGTATGCTTACTTTATAAAAATTATTGTAAATATTATTAAATGTTTTAAAATTATCGATAAATTTCGAAATAATTATTTCATTCAAATGTTTTAAAATTATGAAAAAATAATATAATATATGTAATATTTTAATTGTATAGCAATTCCTTAATTTTACCCCAAAATCATTTAAATCTTAGCCTATTTGTTCTAATTCTTTTCAATTCTAGCCCATTCAATTTTAATTTTTTTCAATAGTAACCATCCTTTCATTTCAATTCTAGCCATTTTATTGCAATTTTGGCCAATCCAAATTAAATCCCATATGATTTTAAGATTTCATCCATTAATCTGGAGCTTCTATTGTTTGAGATTGAATATCCACCCCTCATCTCTTTTAAAATTAACAGTTGAGATTGAATCCTCTTATTTCTTATGTTAAAACTAAAAGACGATTAACCCTAAGTTTGTTCTCATTCTCTTCCTCTCCTCTCTCACTCGGTTGCCTCTCCCCCTCTCTATACTCCTCCAGCTGGTGAAGACCGGCGGACCAGCAACAACTTTGGTGAGGCTAGCAGCCGTTGGCCGCCTCGGCTTCTTCCTCTTTCTCTCCCTTCTCCCTCCCTCTTCTTATCTTCCTCTCCAGGCGAGGAGCAGTAGCAGCCGATACCATCGGCATCTTCTGCAGAAACTACCAAACAGACCGCCGGTAGCAGCAAATGCGAAGGCGTAACTCTCTCTCCACCTTCCTCTTCTTTTTTATTCTCCTCTCTTTGCTGGACCACCACCACCACCAGTGCAACGAGCAACCCAACAACATCAACAACAACAACTCCAGTGAAGGAGGAAGTTGCATGAGGCCAGTGACGACAACAGAAAACAGCAATGTCCCCAACCAAGCGAAGCTCTGACAAAAACTGCCTTCTCCACCAGCAGCTCCGGCCATGGAACTTCAGTGAGGGCCGAGTTTAAATATGAAGATGGCAGATCTCAACAGATCCGTCCGGATCCGTCATTTCTCCCGCCATGGAGCGCTTATCCACTTGGTTTTTTCTGTGTTCGGGCCTATATCGAATCAAATTGGGTCTTCACTGCTGATAAATAATAAGGTATAACCGGTTAGTTTCTCTCATTACTTTAAATCTTATTTTTGCGTTATGTGCACTATGTATGATTGACATAAATAAAAGGAAACATTCGGGTTAGTTTCCTTATCCCTCATTCCGATGTGTGATTTCAGATGACCCATTTGAATTTGTATTTTGCTGTGAATGTCTTCGTGTCTTTATCTATAAGTTATTATTATGCTATAATCTTGGGTTGAGCGGGTTTTGTTAAATTGGTTGAACTCGATCTTCTAGTTGAAGAGTTGTCGAGAGATGAGTTTATTGATTTTTGTATTTTTAAATTTATATTTATCATTTATTTTGATTTGTAATATTTGTATAACTCTCGAATATTCTACGAAATAACTGGGAATCTCTTAGGGGAGGGGAGGAATACATGCTAATTGTTTACTTTTTCCTTTGATTTAATTTACTATTTGTGATCGTTAAATATAATGTCTGTATCCATTAACCACATAACGTCGTAAATAAATTATTTTCACCTAAAATAATTGGTCTAAACTAAACTTTTTTCTGTCTATAAGTTTGTTCTTTTGAAATTCGAGATCAGTCAGTATGCTTTAAATTAATTCAATTTATGCTAAATTTTGGATGTATTTATGTTATAATATTTATGTCATTCTATATTGAGATCCATGGCTATAATTAGTTATGTTTTAGCATTTTTAATTAATCTATTTAGAAAATTTAGGCATGTTGATCAATTTTAAACTAATTGGACCTAATAGTTTTAAATGTTAAAACCAGATTCTTATAATTTTAGCATGCTAACTAATTCGAGGTTTATAAATGCTTGTATATACATACTTTTAGCACGTCTCATGACATAGAAATCATGCTCATAAGGTTCTTTAACTTGCATATTATTTGGGTTTAGAAAATTATGCCTATAGGTTCCGAATATTATTATATAGAAAATCATGTCTATAGGTGTAATAATATTCTCGGCATGTTCACATTAGATACAATGTCTATAGGTCTTAACTAACTGATTAAACAAATTGCTTGTTAAAATCATTGTTCTCATAATTTTCAACATGCCTAAAAAATAAGATAAACCTATTGCATATTTTCTATCAGTCAAATTAAGTAATAACTATTTCCAGTATACTAGAATCATCTAAAATGATTCGCTTCAATTAAATATTGTTCGAAAAGTTGTTTTGTGCATTCTGCACTGCCAGTCAAATTAAGTAATAACTATAAAAATTTTCTGCATGCAACTTTAAATATTTGTTGTCCAATTTAAATCCGCTCAAAAATAATTTTACATCATAAAACTAATTAGTTATTGCTCTAGCATGTTTACGCATCTGTGAATATATTCTGCCACCTTTTAATAATTAATCAATCAATAAACTTTTCTCCGCATGTAATAGTATTTTTGCCCTTCTAAAATAAGATAATAATTATCTTCTGTCCTCTTTGATTTCGTAAGTATTGTCATACTTTCTTTGTATGTTCGTTTGATCACACACTTAAGCATAAGCATGATACCTCCACTAATTACTTGTGCTAGTAGCATGTACAATTAAGATTTAGAGTCCAATATGAGATTTACATGCTAAATGAATGTCCTACATATTTGACTTGGTGCTTAGGAGAGCCATATATATATATATATATATATATATATATATATATATATATATATATATATATATATATATATATATCAGTCTAAACCATTCTAATAGTAGTTCAATGCCTCTTGGGGATGGTAGACACCTTTTAGGATGAAATGCATGTGGTGATGGGGTAGGGATTGTTGGACCATACAAATTCATCATCGACTCCTGCTTAAAGTGACAAACCTTGGTTTTGTCTATTCCTTTACGGAAGATGATAAAAAAGAAATAAAATAAAGTTTAGTGTTGATCCGTAAAGTCCCTTATAGTCATCCTCTCCTTTTATCCCTTCATTTGTTTATAATTATAATTACTTAGGGGTAGCTTAAATAAAATATAAAATTATTTATTTATTTAATTGTGTAATTTCTGTGTCCTTGCTTATCTCTTTATTAATTGTTTAGTATTTATTTTGTCGTCTATCTTATCATCTAGTCTTGCAAGCCTAATTAATAAATTTAAATAATAAGGTAGCTTTAACTGTTTAATATTATATATCACCTAGCTAGCATGTTAATTAACTAAATAATAATAAATGAAGTGACCGTACTTGATTTTTGTAACCCCCACATAAATTGCATGAGATATGATCGGCGCCTACATTTGTGGACTTCAAGGGATGCATAATACCTTCCTCTTGAGGTAATTTAAATTGTTACCCTGATCTTTGATTTGTTGACCTTAGTTAGATTTTAGATAGGTTAGATAGGTGCCCTAACACGTCTTAATTTGTTAGGTGGTGACTCTTCAAATTCAAAAATCTCAAAAGAGTTGTTAGGTCGTGCATCATGTCCGCTTTGAGAAAAAATGGGGTGCGACAGAATGACGACTATGCTGGAGATATTAATTTCTACCAATACATGTTTCATGCTGTATGTGGGGCTTACTATATTAAGTCACTTCATTGTTTGTTTCAGTATTACCATGCTAAATTGTTATTCGCTTTCCTTGAAAACTTGCTTTCCCTATATATTATACTTTCCACGTTCCACTCCTTTCCTTCTTCCTTATTTGTTTATTGTCATGTTTCACCCTTTTCTTTTTCTTATTTGTTTACTTGCATGCTTAATCACATACTCTCTTTCCTTATTTGTGTGATTCTTCAATATGTTTATATGTTTACTTCCCTTTACTTATGCATGTATGTATTTATTTATTATCGCTTTTATAAACTGCCTATGCATTACTTCTTTCCACCTAAATACTATATGTTACTGCTTTGAGAACTAACATTCTGCTCATACTTCTCCCAATTGGGACCCTCTTCTTTTTTTTTTACTGTATGTTGTGCCTTTGCACCTCTCAAAACTACTTCACTTTTCTTAAAATACCTTTTATAGAGATTCGACATATTTGTGGATAGAACAAATAGTTTTATTATCGGAAAACCACGAGCCTTCTCGCATAAAATTCCTTTCAAGTCCGCGTCAAACTAACTTTTAGAAGTCCTAGTTAGGTCATACATGTTGCATAAGCTCTAGGTGGTTTGACACTTGGTGTCAATCCACATAATTAGTAGTCACCCTATCGTCTTATGGGTTGCAATACAATTTAGACAAATTGCATATTTATGTGTCAGCGTGATCATAATAGTTAAATCAAAGCCAACTTTGTCAAAATAGAGTTTAAAGTCGTTTGTTGTTTTGTTTGTAGAGTCATGGCCTATCCTCATTTCCCCAACAAACAAATGGTGGTCAAAGTGAATCCTACCCTGAAGGTTTGGTGGAAGGATATTTAGAGAAACCGAGAGTTAGAGGCAAATGACCTGCTAGGTGGCCTTACCGTTTTGATCTCCATCTGGTCAGATTTTCACCTGATCAAGACATTGTTGAAATTTTGGGACTCTAAGAGGTTAGTTTTCAAATTCAAGGACTTTGATCTAACCCTAACAATTGATGATATTGGTGGGTTTCTGGGTCTCCCATACAAAGAACGTGAAATGATTGTGCCACACAAGCCAACGCCAAGGTCCTTTTTGAAGCAAATTGGCCTGCATCATGATCCAAATTTACTTTGTACGAAAATGGGATGAATTTCTTTAGAATTCCTGTATTCACGTTTTTGAGACGAGGAAGGCCATAAAAACATTCACTTAGAATTTGCTTGCTCCCCTGCAAAATGGGAAAGATACCGCCTTAACTCATTCGTCGTCACATTATTAGGCTCATTGATTTTCCCTATGGAAAGGGAAAAAATCCAAACAAGCTTATGTTATGTGGTCCGTATGTTGGCTCGATGTGGGAAGACCATATTCCCATGATACTTTCGGAAATTCTAAGAGCATTTACCGCACTAAGGCAAAAGGTACTTCGAGGGGCGTAATTTTCTGTTGCAACTTTGGGCTGTTGAACACTTCTACCAAAGTGACAATAGGGTAGAAATTATTAGAGGGACCACGGGGAATAAAATTATCACTCATTCCTCAAGTATGACATTTTATTTCCCTTGTAGGAATGTAAAACTGGTTCATGTATTTCAGAGAGCGCTCAACCATTGAAATCCAATGGAAGAATTATTGGTTAAAGCCTCATCATGTCATTTTAAGGGGTAATGAGCTCTACTTTATCTAGCTTATTGGTTTGAACTGTGTGCAACCATATGTACCACTCCGAGTCCAACAATTCGAACAAATTCAAATGATACCTCTGCGATCCCATATAGGCCACCATGGATATGACTTTGGGCCAGAAATACCGCAAGTGAACACCATACTAGGAAGATGGGAAAGGGTGGTAACTATCAATGTTCAAGAGCATCGACCCTTTTGCACACCTGAATATACGTGTGGCTTCTGGAGGATGCATAACATGCAGATCTAAGCGAGGAAGGTCTTCCAAGTTTTGGTAATGAAAGGGAAAGAAGATGGGCTCACAACCTTCTCAACAACAATTATGATATCACCAGAGAAATGAGGCAGCAAATTATGACTAACATTGAAGACCTGCATTGACTGAAGTTTCTTAGAATTTTTTTTCCCATGTTATCCCTAGCCTCTAGCTTATTTCTAGTTTTGCTTTAGTCTGATGTAATAATTTGAAATCATTCAATATGTGAAGATTGTTTTTTATTTCTTAACTCTAAACTCCTATTGGAAAATAAGGCTTAAATTTTATATTATGCATCAAGTATGTGTTGTGTTAGGCCTACCTCTGGCTCAACGAGACTCCTTGCACTTTAGGGCGAATATTTCTAACAATGTGTTGTTATTATTATATTGTATTAATCCCCTCACATCGTTCTCTGTTGATTCTATTGTTTTCCCCATTACTAAGGTTCATCTGTCCTTCATTCTGGCACATACACGATCAAAAGGGACCCTTCTCATCCACAAAAACAAAGCTGTGTAGATAAGGTTAAAATGGTTGATAACAACAACACCAACGAAAGGACAGAAACATATGAGGAGGGGAAAATTCCAAGTGATCTTGTCTTGAGACTTGAACGTAAAATTTTGGAATTGGAAGAAGAGGTAGTACATATGTGCGATTTGGTAAAGTTGTCTATCTCTCTCGATACTTAGTTTGGAGAAAATATAGACAATCCTCCTGAAACTAACCAAACAACCATACCACACAATACTCAATTAATATATCCTGATCCGAACTCACTCATCCAAATATTATCCCATCACTTCACGTCCAAAATACTCAAATCCCTTTTTACCACTACCATCAACAAACTAAGAAAACCATTCCAGAAACAATTCCAAATGCAAACTCTGCACACACTCTTAGAAACAACAACTTCTATCCCATATGTGGAAACTGCTCCTGTGATCCATGACCACCATGGATCAGAATCCTCCCAAAATGAAATTCTAATAGAAACCCTGATCGAGAGATTATATAGCCTTGCCAACATGGTGAAGCATGTGGAAGGAAGCAAGAGCTTAGGAGGATTGAGCGATGATGATTTGTGCATGTACCCCGATGTAGAATTGCTTGAAGGATACAAGCTTCCAAATATTGAAATGTTTAATGACATTGGAGATCCCAAATCCCACCTGCGAAATTAGTGCGACAAGCTTGTAAGGGTGGGGAGAGATTAGAAGATACTCATGAAGTTGTTTTTGAGTAGTCTCACTTTGGAGGCCCTGTCCTGGTATATTGAACAAGACCCTCGAAAATGGGTTGAGTGGGTGGACATGGAAACTGATTTTATGAACATGTTTGGCTTTATCGTAGAAAATGCTCTTGATTGATTCTATATCCAAGGTTTGAAGAATAAACCCAGTGAATCCTTCAGGGACTACACCACAAGATGGAGATCTGAGGTGGCTAGGGCCAGACCTCAGATGGATGAATCTCAGATAAAAGACTATTTCATCAATGCCCAAGAGCCACAATATTATAACAGGATAATGCTGGTGGCTTAGAAGAGTTCTGCTGAAATTATCAAATTTGGACAAAGAATTGAGGAAGGTTAAAAAATGGGACTATTATCAACCTGAATTATATCCCTCAACTCCACAAGCTATATCTCCCCAACCCATGCCACTTTCTTACAAAAATACTCCTCCTTAGTATTAGCAAGATTCATATCCTATCTATAATCCCAGCTAACATACTCCACCACCCACTCAAACACAAAACTACCGAAATAGACCTTCTTATGAAAAAAGATTGATCTACCGTGATCACACAGTGTTTTCAATGAATTTTGCTCAAGAGTTGTGTGTTCCTAGAGCTCTTTTGTTGTAGTTTTAACGTGTTTTATGTCTTGTTTTTCAGGAAAGATGTCCAAGTTTGAAAATGCACAAGGCATATAGAAAAAAGTGCAGATTTGCGACCTACGAAGGCCATCGATGGACAGTAGGTGTTGACAATTGATGGTAGTTCAAGGCTAAAGGAGAAGATCAGGGAGATTTGACTAAGTGTAGAACCACGAGAGTAAACGATGATCCTTATATTGATCAACGGACCGTACTGGTGAACTATCAATTGGTTTAGTGAAGGTTCTAGTACCTGACTTTTTCAAGATTCTATGTATGGAACGACAGAAGAGCATCGATGGGGTGTAGATGAATCGACGGACCGTATTGCTGGTACGTCATTTGATTTAGAGAAGGTGTTGGCCAGTGAAGAAAAATTATTCCAAGTATGGACTGACGAGGAAATCGATGAATCGTCGTTCCATTGACAGTTCTACAGCGAGATCTTTGTTTGAATTCGTGTTTTTGGACAAAACTTTTCTTATTTTATTTCTTTTTATTTAGGACTATGTTTTCTATAAATAGGGGATTAAAACCTCATTTTTTGGGGTTAGATACTTTTGGTATTATTTTATTTTGCGTTGGAGATTGTTGGTTGCAAACTTTTAGCAATTAATCGATTTATGGATTCTTGTTGAAGGATTTTTCTTGCAATTTTTAAGTTGAATTTCTGAGTTTCTTCTTATTGTGAAGTAAGTTCATGAATTCTTTCTTAAAAACCATGAATTGTGATCTTGCTTGAATGGGTAACTAAATCCACAACTAGGGTTGAGGGAAACATGGATAATTAACAAAGTAAACCTAGCAAATAAGTAATTCTCAAATAGGTTCTTGCATGTTTTGATAATTCTTTCGTTTAGAAGTCTTTTTAATGAGTGCACGCGTTAGATTTCGCCTTATTGCTACTTGCCGTACCAAGAAGGTAGGAATAAGAAAAGAATTATCAACATAAATTTAGTGTGATAATATCTAATGGGCTAGTGTCGATTTGTGCAAAGTAATAACTAAGTCATACATCAATTATGCTGTCTAATATGAGGCAAAGGTAAGGGTTAGTAGTTAATACACACATAGCCAGACCAAGGTACGGGATAATTTTTTTAGATGTGGGACCAAGGATTTAGAGATACATAACTTACCACTTTACATGCAAAACACTAGGGAAGAATTGCTATTGCTAGGAATACGACGTTATACACCTGTGGGGAACTTATGTACCGTAGTTAGTCTCATAACCTGATAAAAATTCAATATTTACTTTTGCTTACGTGTTAACTTAGATTGATTAAGGAACTTGTTTCATAAACCCCCCAATTAGTTAATTGTTTTTTGGAAAGACTTTGTCTAAATAGACGTGAATGTGAATTGAAGTTAAGTCTAAACCATTTTCATTGTTAGATCGATCCCAACTTGTTAGTTGGGTTCTCAACTTGATTACGATCGCTTATACTTCTTTAGGGAAGTGTAATTTGAGCGTAAATTTTGCCGCCGTTGCTAGGTAATCTTGCTTTTAGATTAACTTTAATTATGTTTTTGAAATTAGTCAATGGTTTCTTGATTTTACTTTTTCTTTTTGTTTTTGTTTCTTTTAGATGTAACTCTACTGTATGCCAAGTACACGATGACGAGGAGAACCACTCACTCCATTCGATCCAGAACATAACTGTACATTGAGAAGGATGAAAAATCAATAGATCCCAGCCAATCAAGGTGATGGAGTAGACCGGCAGCCTCCATTACTAGTTGAGGCACACAATAAGGCACATAAACAACTGAGAGAGGTTGTGAGACTAGAACCTCCAGCAGCCCTACAACTTCAGTATTACAATAGGGGTAACATGAACATTTTAGATTCCGATGGACCTCTTGTCCTACCCCTTCTGCCACCTGAGCATACATTTGTGGTGACTAGTAGCTTAATGCAGATGCTCATTGCGAGAGGTTTATTTTTGGGACTGCAATCGGAGGACCCACATGCCCATATAGCTAAACTGGGGTCTGTATGCAAAAGTTGTGTGGGTAGACCAAACTTGGATATGAATGTGATTGGGTTCCGAGTATTTCCTCTATCACTGACAGGAGATGCCACCATATGGTTTACTGAGCTACCCTACAATTCCATCTACACTTGGGATCAATTGAGAGATGTGTTCTTAGCAAGGTACTATCCAATGTCCAAAAATCTCAATCACAAGGATAAGTTGAACAACTTTGTGACATTACCTGGAGAGTCATTGAGTAGCTCTTAGGATAGATTTATTGCATTCATGAGAGGTGTCCCAAACCACCGCATGAACGATGAGTCACTGATAGATAAAACAGTGCTAGACACTATTATCGGTGGCTCTTATTGGAATGTACTATGCTTAGATTACAGAGAAATTGGAGAAGAGATCTCGCAACAACAAGTCTTGGAACACTAGAGAGTCGGATACTGGGAGACACCTTTGGATACAAGCTACAAAAAACCCAACAGCAGATGACATGCATGAAGAGTTGGCACATATGAGAATTGAGCTTGGGTTGGTCTTGAAACATGCGAGTGGAGTTGCAAAGAAGGTAAACGCGGTGAACTATTGACCAAACGGCCACCGCTGGTAGATGAGTATTATTATGATGAGGATGACTATGCATTGAATGATTAGATGGAGGGTTTTCGACCAAACGCCCAAGACTCCAATCAGAAAAATTGGCTCCAAGGTCATGGAAACCAAGGTTGGAACTATGGTAACTATAACCGAGAGTGTCAATATGTCTGAGATGGGAATTACAACCGTGATAATAACTTTAACCGTGATAACTATTGTAACAAAAATGATCGGAGTGGGCCCTATGTTCCCCCTCAAAATTGTAAAGTTGCTCCTAGGGACGGTGGAATTAGTATGACACGAGTTGAGGATATGATGCAGAAGATGATGAGGTTTGATGCTAGTGATGAGAATGTCAAGGAGATGAGAGGTGACCTAGCTAACATGCATCTTGAGTTACAAATGGCTCAATTGTCACGACTGTGAATGCACCCCAACCTGGCATTCTTCCTAGTAACACTATCTAGAATCCTAAAAATGATGGGCATTGCATGACAGTTACTACTCGAGGGGGTAAGCAAACCATTGATCCACCCATGCCGCCCGTAGCAAAAGGTGATAAAAGAAAAGGCAAAGAGGTGGTAGAAGCTAGTGGAGAGTTGGTGGACAAAACGGCGAAAGAAGCAGAAATGTCTCAGAAAGTGGTCCCTGTTCCTAGTCCTCCACCACCATTTACTCTGAGATTAGTGAAGAAGACTGAAGATGGTAAATACATGCAATTTATCACTTTGTTGAAACAACTTTCCATCAATGTCCCTTTGATAGAAGGTTTGGAACAAATGCCAGTTATGCTAAGTTTATAAAGGATATACTGACTAAGAAGAGATCAGTGAGTTTTGAG